AGCTATGCTCCACTGCTTGCAGCTGACGTGATTGATAAAAGACGACGCACTCATCGCCGTCTGAGTAGTACTGCATTAACGCGCAGCCGATTGCAAAATTTCTGGCTTCACAGACCACGTATAATGGTCTGTCTTGGTCTTCAATCGCCAACTCAGGCGATTGTATCAAGCTTTTCATGATACCTTCGAGGGAGTGCTGACACTCAGCACTCCATGACCACCTCTCGTGTTTATTTAATAGACGAGAGAGATGTACGGCTGTCCCGGCGTAGTTGCGCGAGTACTGTGCAAATACGCCGCTAAGCCAAGAAACTTTCTAAATCCATTGAAGTCGTCTGGCCGAGGCCAGTTGCTAATCGCCTTGATCTTTTCGGAATTAGGGCGTACGCCTTTTCACCCACGATGCAGCCAAGAAGTGGTATTTCGTTCGCTGCGAACATGATACACTTCTCTAGGTTTGCGAACAACTTCTGCTCATGCATTAATGTAAGAACCTTCCAGACGTGGATTTTATGAACATCCACGTCCGTCTTTCCATCCATAGCCCGGAAATGGGCTAACAAAATTGTCAGAGTCACTCGGTGCAAAATCTCGCACCGATCGCAACAGATTCGTAGCACATCTGTTGAGCCTTGCAGGGGCGTTACCTTAGCCCCTAAGGCATCACTAGCTACTCCCAGAGAATACCACTGGGGGTGCTCACTGTTGTGTACGGGATGCCCCGTACACTCATGAGGATCTGATAGAATCCACCCATCAGATCCATGGACAGAAGGTGGCACTTTTTGCCATACCATCATTGATGACGTCCTTACTTGGTATCGGCGTTTGAGTCGGTACCGTTGCAGCGTTCCATTTGTTGAGCGCGTGCACTATCCGCCACCCTCCTGTGGCCTTTCGCACACAGAATGTCGGAGAGCTGTGTGAGGATGATGATTCCCTCGCAGGGCCAACCGCTAAGCGATCGGCAAATTATTTTGCGATCGCTGCGACCTGTTCACGAGGCAGTGGCCACTGCTTCATGACACAGTACTTCAAACCGTGTTTCAATTCGATTTCGTGCCGAGTGCCTTTGTCCTTCGGCAACTCGCATGGCACGGATTCAGGAAACATCCCTTAATTTGACCAAATCATTATACAAAGGAGTTGTCTTCAAAGACTCCCAAGATTGAGAATTGTATCGCTCAACCCTGGTCTTATCATCGAGGGCACTTCTGTCCATCGATGAGCTACTGAGAACCCGTTCGTGCTCAGTAAACGCTTGTGTCGACCGAATATCGGCAACGTACTCATCCTCTGTGACGAGTACGCAGATCTGCTTGATCTTGTCGCTACGCAGATCTCGCAAGAATCTTTTAAATTCTGGCGCTGGCAAACTGATTACCTCCGAATCTGACTTTGGAGGTGTAAACAGATCGATCGTATAAGCGCCTACACTTGATCCGTTATTCCCCAAGACATTCAATGTCTAGGTGTTTCCTGTTAAAACACATTCGCAGGAGGTTGAGAAATCACACCCTCAACATGACTCTCTCGGTAGTAATCACTCTCAGGAACGCAAGAACTATCTTTTAATGCGTGTTCTGACTGTGGGTGTACTACCACAGTCACGTCCTCTTCGATCGACTCTCTTATTTAGCCAATCGGACTTGATCTACAATCGACTCAATGTTAGTCGATCTTGATTGGACGTGTCGTCTATCGTAAACAACACTAATCTCTCTTCTTGGATGCACCCTTCTTGGTGTGCATCCGTGTTTCGGTCTACTCGATCTCTTCGTGTGGTGAACCTTCGGCACAGCCTGTGTCTCTACACAGGTGCCGGAAGCTGGTTCCACGGTGTAGTGGCCTTCCACACTGTGATCTTTTGCAGTCATACTAACGACCGTACCACAAGTGAGGCCATCGCACTCACTCGTACATCTACACGGTTGTAAACGCTCCAAGACGTTCATCAGATGCCCATCTGATGAACAAACGGCAGGCATCTTCACTGATCGGCGCTGCCAGCAAATCCGTGGTTGGTATTTTCTAAGCCATGGCAGACCAAGGATGACGTCAAATTTGTCATCCAAATCGAGTACGATGAAGTCATCATCGTGTTGCTTTCCTTCCAGCGTGTAGTGGATTCCCACTTCTTCCCTGTTACGGATGCGCATGTTGCAAGGCACACCGTCATCCTCGTTGGAAGGAAATCTCGCTCAACATAGTTGAGTCTATTATCTTCTAGCTACTGGCGTTGAATAAAACTGTTCGACACCCCACAGTCAACTAGGGCGCGAATTGACATTCCACTTGTCACTTCGATCTTTAAAGTGATGAGGGACTCCTCATCACTATGGGCAGTAACACACAGAGACTGCGTGTTGGGAGCAATCTTTGTCAAGAGTCCTGCAAATTATTTTGAATTTGATGGATCAGCAGGGTGCTCCACCCCTACTGACCCTGACCATTTTTTGGCGGTCCGACTTGCTGTCGCGGTTCAGCGACATGTTCGGATCCGCGCCTTGGACCTTTCTTCGGCCAATGACGGTCATCACGTCTTGTCTTTGGACGTGATGCGGTGCTGGGGACACTACACTCATGAGCATAGTGTCCAATCTTTCTGACAGCGGTGGCACCTTGCCGCTCGCTTGTGACTCAGAGAGCGATAGTTCTCGCTCTCAACATAATATACGTCCATTGGTTCGGGACCTCCTGTTTTCTGTCGCCTCGTCGGACGATAGTTTGACGAGTTAGCCTGAGACTGTATCAGGCTGAAGTATTCTTGTTCCGCATACGCTATCGCCTTTTCCAGCGTATGGAAGTCCTCTTGGAACATGTAGGTCTTCACCGGCCCATCCACAAGGCCGTAGATGAAAAAGCTGATGAGCGTGTGCTTATCAACAGGGTCTTCCATGACGCTACTCGCAAGGTAGTGTAGGTGTTGTGCGTAATCATGCACATCACGCTTACCTTGCTTGAGCCTCAGAAGTGCAGAGCGTGCTCTGAAATCGGCTCTTGTCGGCTCAAGGTCTCTTTGAGCCGAGACTTCAAGATCTCCAACGACTCAAACACGTTTGGGTCTTAAGCTTGAGCCCTGAGGCCCAAGTCTTTGCTCGTTCTGTCAAATTTGATAGGGCAAAGGTGACTTTCACTCGTCACCCTCGATGTGACGGGCCATGATAGCATTGTTTAGCTCGACGAACCATCTCGAAAAAGAGTCTTCATCAGTTCCCTTGTACCTTGAGATATCAATCTTCAATCAAGGTTTCGGATCGACGCATGTGCGTCGGCCCGCCCATCGACTGATGAGAGCCTTGCTGTTATAGCAAGGCTATCTTCTGTCTTTCGACGGCAAGTTCCCCTTGTAGGAACTTGTTGATAGAAGCATGTTGCTGGTCTTTGCTTAGAGACTCCAACATACCACTGATGGCGGGTTCGCCCATGAGCACACTCATGCGGCGGACTACCTCCCATTCTGAGTCACTCAGATGGGAGTAGCCTTCACGTGTGACGTGAAAGCTGTCGTCTTGTACGTCCAACATTTTCATTTTGGACGGACACTAAGCAGTCCTTGGACGGACTACGAAGTGCTACCAGGTGTAACGGGGCACCCTTTGTTTGAAGTGCCGAGAACTTCATGTACATTAGTACGTGCAAAGGAAGCTAATCTACTTGAACGACTCGGTCAAGTAAAGGTGAACAGAGAACTGTAATCAGTAGAGTTAAGCTCTCATAATAACTTTAATCTTTATGTAACTATGGTTATCTATATTGTCGTATGAAGACAACCTGCTCACCACTCATTACGCGCGTCTAGCAGCGATTGGTGGTCACCTAGAATGGTTTGTCTTTATTAACCAATCTTGAAGCAGCGAATGAATATTGTCCTAAAAAAGGGGATAATATTCCTTCAATATTATCCATCTCGGATAATATCGGTAGGATATCGTCATGCTAGACAATTTTCCTATTGACACCGTTTGGTGTCAATTTCATGTAACGGGCTATCTCGTTTCTTGTGACCTAGTAAACCTGGTCCAGGTCGGAGCCTTACCTACATGATTTACCGACACTGATACCGTCATCGCCTATTTACTTGATCTATCTGCGCAAAGGTGCATCATTCAAAGCGACGATGATGCGCTTGACCGGCAGATGTCAACTATAAAGTAGTAACGGCTCGACTCGCAGCGATTCTGTGCGCGAGTCGGAACTATTCGAAGTCAAGGGATAGCAAAAGACACACTTGCCGGCACCACTACGTAGTCACAATTTGGGATGCCTTAAGCAGTGTTGAGTTTGGACTCGCAGTGCTTTAGACGATCCTGCAGCCTGTGTTCGTACTTGACATCTGCATTAGTGAGGTGAAAGTGTAACTTCTGTACGTGGACAGCTCTGTGGGCGTGTAGATTCGTAATCTGTACCATGACAAAAGCTAGATCATACATCTCATGGTTTCGGCATTGTTTGGGACTTAGTTCAATGAAAGCGTTGGCGAATAAACGCTCAGTGTTTGTTATGGTGACCATGACGCTGCAGAAAGTCGAGGATTTTACTGGGGTGTACATTACGATCTCAGTTTTAAACTCGTGGGAGACTTGCTGGTTGAAAAGAATCGGGAACAGAGAGAGCGATTGGCTTAAGGAGTGTCAAAGAAAGCTTTGCTGTTGACGCACTACACGATCTCGATTCACGTGCCGCTCACATTGTGGCCGAGATGGTTTGAGGATGTCGACAAGCCTGAGTTTACCTAGTTGTACGAAGATGAGAAGCACGCCGAACGAATAGGTAATTAATTGAAGGTGGGTTACTACACCGATGTGAAATTGGGGGAATTTATGGACCGTATGGAGATGGAAAATGTACTTAACGACACTATCGTTGTCATCATGGGGGACCATGGGACTGGAGCATGACTTTGACAATTCGCTTGAGGAGTCGATGACGCGTGTGCCAGCTGCTATCATTGCATGCTGAAGGCTGCCTTGGTGGTGCTGTGGGGACTGTGATCGACGATGCTGGAGCATTACGACCTTCTCAACACGCTTGCCGATATCACAGAATTGCCAGAAGGAGGATTGCCAGAGCAAACTGGTGTCGGGCGGTTCCTTAAACGCAAGATTTCTTTCGGTGAACGGATGGTGTATAGCAACGAACCGGTGCGGAAAATGGCAGTTGTCCGTGGTAGTTAGCGTCTCCGATATAATGAAGTAGGCGATGTGATGATGTCGCACGACACTGAAATGGACTACTGCATGAATACGTAATTGCTGCCCGGATTGGCCCCTACAGAGCAGGCTGAATGAAAAGCTTTGCGAGATGATGGTCGTCACGTTGCTGCTTACTAAAATCGCTGGATAAAGATTGTTTGCTCGCTGTCGACAGTATCTCATGATGCTGATATGATCCTGGCAGCTGGAGTAGATCGAGAGCGGCAGCCAAAGAATTTGGGACTAGATCTCGCGCGCATGCCAAGGTTGAATGGCGTTAGTCGATACAGTGGGACTCAAGGTGAGAAATACATAAGAGTGTGTGGAACTAGTGAATCATTACAACGTTTTGTACCACGTAAGAACGAAGGTGGTCATTAGCATGAAAGCTCAGGAAAAAAAGGGATACGATTGCGAGCCCGAAAGGTCAAGCTATTCGCAAGGTAAATGTCCAGTATTTAACCCTACTATACGTCTGTGTTTGTGAGTGCCGGTTAAAACACTAGACGTACATTACATGTTGTACCACAGGCCGTACTAAGTATGATGTGCATCTAGTACGATACGATGTGTCAATCTTTGAGTTGGTCACAAATTGATACAGCGTAAAGAGTGTAAGTCGCACACGCACAAATGCCCGCACTTGATCGGCTCAAAAGTGACCAAGGGCGAGCAAACGGCTTGTCGATTGTCATTGTAGTTGTTCATGCCATGGATCCTGTTGCGACTGATTCTGCGTGTCATCGCTTTCGAAACTTGCTGGGGAATTCGCGCCAACAAACTTTACTTTTTACTTGAGTATGGATACTCTGTGAGCAAATAACTTTTACTCATGCAGTACGAGTATTTGTACGCAAATAGTATACTCCTGCACCTGATTATACTCATTCAAGTTTCCGCCGGACTACTCATACACATGAGTTAACCAATGCTCTACATAAATCAACTTTCATAAAAAAAAACAAAAAGAGCTCATGCTCTATGAGTAATTCTACTTTTTGTTTTGTCTGAAGTGATACGTTTACTCATATTTTATGTGGGCAGAAATTTTTTAGTCATTTGAAATGGGTGCATAAGCCCATTTTGGGTCTACGGAGTCGACAGGTTAGTAAATTAATCCATTTGAATATAATTAAGGCAAATGGCAAATGACCGGGTTCTTTTTTTATTCGGCTGAGTCATTCTGATTCGATATCAGACGTAGCTCAAAAGCATGCCCGGCTTCGTCAGGAGAAGATCCCAAACGCTCAATTCACTCTTAATGCTTGATTCGCTGCCCGTGCAAAGTAGCACGGGGTCGCGCATTGATTCTGTGCCGAATTCTGATGTATTCTCTCACCGTCTACATCGACCACATGGTGTCACGTAATAAAGACATAATTAGGGGCTGATTGTCGCTGTTTGTAGTACCAACACATTTCGTCTTCCCCTCTCTCAACCCATAATCATCTACGACACCGTCACTCGCGTTCTCTAATCTGCGGCGCGTCAAGCAAGCAGCCTCCTATTATTACCAGTTCGTAAATGACAGACTCTCTCGATTATAATTGTTCACCCAGCAACCAATCTCTTTCGGCGTTTGTTGGATCAGTACTACCTCGAATCCAACCACTTCTCAGGTCCGCGCATACTTTTTCCATTTTCTATATTAACCGGAAGCAGACAGTACGCTCCAATTAATAAAATCAGCACAGTTATCGCACACAGCACTTCAGTACTTGAAACAGTCGATTCTCCTGACATCGTAAGCGTCACAGCAGCGACGTCATGAAAATCTCTACGCATCTGACTTTTATGCGAGAACGAGTGTGCGTACACACTGGCTTGACCCAGTATGAAGCGGGGTGAATCGTTACATAGCAATTTACAAGAAGTTGTTTATAGAATATGACTATAAGAGTCATATTCACAGAATATTGTCATAAGGACAAATATTCTGTAGCACTTCCAAGTAGTTCCTAATTGGTTATTATAGGCCATTATATCAACCGACGAAGACACGCCACGACAGACGCACGCAATGAGTGGTGAGCAGATAGTTGATATGCACATTTGTATTCAGACATAATTAGATGAGGATAAACAGTGATTTACTAACAGACATTAACTATTATAAATGCAGTTCAACTTTTTACTTAAACCAAGTACTTGCTTCTTCTTACCGTCTTCCTCTGCACGTACGAGTGTACGTGAAGCTACGAGACACCGCCTTTTTCTGTCATCAGAATAAGTAGCTTGTACTGTCACCAGTACAAGCTTCAGGGTGCCCCGTTACACCTGGTAGCACTTTGTAGTCCGTCCAAGGACCACGTTCACATCTAACATGAATATGTTGGATGATGAAGATGACCAAAGCTTTCACGCTACGCGTGACGGCTACTCCCATTTGAGCGATGTCGAATGGGATGCGGTTGAACGAATGGGTTCGACCATGGGCATCCATGCTGTTAGCGTCATGCTAGAGGCTCTCAATAGAGATGCCCAACATGCTACTATCGCCAAGTTCATTTAAAATGACCTTGACGCTGAACGCGAGAACGTAGCCTTGCTTCACCAACAAGGTTCTCAACGATCAGAGTTGTTGAGAGAACAGGGTGCTCAACAGTTTGAACTGTTGAGACAGCAGCAGGCTGCTGCTGGTGGGTCGATGCACTCGCGTCGACCCGAAACCTTGAAGATTGACATCTTCAAGTATAGGGGAGTCGAAGAAGACTCCCTCTTGAGATGGTGTGTTGAATCAGACGACGTCATAAGGGCGCGTCGCATCGACGACGGGGATATGCAAGTTGCATTTGCCCAATCAAATCTGGTAGAACGTGCCAAGACTTGGGCTTTGGGGCTCAAGTTGCACGACCCATATGCGTTTGGGTCGTTGGAAGTCTTCAAGTCGCGGCTCATACAAACGTTTGAACCGCCTAGAGCTGATTTCAGAGCTCGAACTGAACTCTTGAAGCTCAATCAAGGTAATCGTGATGTGCACGCTTACGCACAACATCTACGACATTTCTCGAGTTGTCTAAGTTCCTACCCGGTGGATGAACACACGTTGGTTTCGGTGTTCATGCAGGGTCTTGCGGATGGTCCCGTCAACACTCACCTTCTCCGACTTGAACTAGATTCACTAGAACAAGCAATTTCCATTGCGGAACAGGAAGAATTCAGTCTGAGACAGGCTCGCGCCAGCTCGACATCATATCGTCAACCGAGACGATATGACAACGGAGGTCCAGAGCCGATGGAACTCTGTTATGTAGAGAGCGAGAAGGCTCGCTCTACAGACTACAAGAAGTTGCAGAGATGCAACAGATGTCAAAAGACAGGACACTACGCTTACGAGTGTAGTGCCCCTCGTCCAGTGTCTCGCGACACTGGGCGTAGTGACCGTCCACCCATGAGAAAGGGGCAGGGACGCGGGTCCGCTGTTGGTGTAAAGACGCAACAACGGGATGGACCGTCAAAAAACGGACAGGATCAGTAGGTGTGGAGCACCCTACTGGTCCAGCAACGTCAAGAGCATTTGTAGGCCTCTTGATGAAGGTTGCTCCCAACACACAAACGTTGTGCGTTGCTGCTCTAGGTAATGAGATCTCACTCATTACCTTGAAACTCGAAGTGACGAATAAGTTGTCCCTTCGAGCTCTAGTCGATTGTGGGGCGTCCAACAATTTTGTGCGACTCCAATCGCTAGAAGATGGTCACTTCAATTTAGTGAATGTGACACACCTCCTACGAGGATGACGGTACGTCTTGCGACAGGCGCATCCGTAACCGTCATGAAGCGTATAGTGAAGATTCACTATACGCTAGAAGATACCTAATATGACGATGACTTTGTCGTTTTGGATTTGGATGTCAAATTTGATGTCATCCTTGGAATACCGTGGCTCAGAAGGTACGAACCACGGGTAAACCGGCAACATCGAACAGTAACGATGCCTGCCGCTTGTTCATCAGATGGCCATCTGATGAACGTTTTGGAGCGTCCCCAAGCGTGTGGATGTACTACGAGTGAGTGCGATGGCCTCACTTGTGGTACGGTCGCTAGTACGACTGCACAAAACCTTAGTGTAACAAACGGTTACACTTCGGAGCAAAGTTCCGGCGGCTGTGAGGAAACACAGGCTGCGCCGAAGGTCCACCACTCGAATAAGTCGAGTGGACCGGGACAAAGATGTGTCCCTAGCGGGGAACATCTAGAAGAGAAACAATCGATCGCTCAGGTTAAGCAAAACGATAATCCTAGATCGACTGGAGAGTTCTTTCGTAGAGGATCTCGCTGTAGTTGCGCAGCCACAGCTAGAGGAAGTTAAGGGAATAAGTCCCGATATTACAAATACGGCGGAAATAAGTTCTCCGAAACCCGCGGGAATAAGTCCCCGGGAAGCCGAAGGAATAAGCCCTTCGAGGCCTGAGGGAATAAGTCCCCAGGAAATGACAGAAACATTGAATGTCATAGTCAATGATGGATCAAGTGTGGACGCTTACACACTTGATCTGATTGCGCCTCCAAAGTTGGCTTTGGAGATCACTCAGTTGCCAACGCTCGAACATAAAAGGTTCTTGCGTGATCTGCGTAGTGGCAAAGTCAAGCAGATCTGCGTACTCGTCGCTGACGACGAGTGTGTAGCCGACATAAGGTCAGCAACAATGCTTACTGAGAGCGAGAGAGTTCTCAGTAGTTCATCGATGGACGAGAGTGTCCTAGATGAAAAGACACGAGTTGAGCGATATGACTCCCAATCGTGGGAATCGCTCAAGACAAATCCTCTCTATGAAGATTTGGTTGAATTCAAGGATGTATTCCCTGAAACTGTTCCGTGTGAATTACCAAAGGATAAAGGTATTCGACACGAGGTCGAGCTTAAACCAGGCTCGAAGTACTGTGTCCTGAAGCAGTGGCCACTGCCTCGTGAACAAGTACTTGCGATCGACAAGTTCTTTGCCGATCGATTAGCTGCGGGCCATGTGAGGGAATCAACTTCCCCACATAGCTCTCCGACCTTCTGTGTGCGAAAAGCGACAGGAGGGTGGCGGATTTTGCATGCATTTAACAAGTTGAATGCTGCAACGGTACCGGCTCAGACGCCGATACCATAGAAGGACGTAATCATTGATGGTATGTCAAAGAGTACCATCTTTTCGTCCATGGATTTGATGGGTGGCTTCTATCAAATCCTTATGTGAGAAGGGAATATACCCTATACCACAGTTAGCACGCCTAGCGGCATGCTCTGGGAATGGCTAGTAATGCCACAAGGGCTTAGTAATGCCCCTGCCACGTTCAACAGGTGTGTATCACATCTGTTGAGACCAGTAGAAGAATTCGCGCCGAATTATTTTGATGACGTATTCATCCATAGTCGGGCTATGTATGGAAAGTCGGACGTTGAGGTTCACAGATACCACGTCCGACAGGTTCTTACAATCATGCGAAAGCATCAATTGTATGCAAACCTGAAGAAGTGTATTTTTGAAGCAAGCGAAATACCACTTCTTGGGTGCATCGTTGGTAAGAACGGTGTACGTCCTGATCCCGAAAAGATCAAGGCGATCACCGACTGGCATGTGCCGGTTGATGTCAAAGGTCTTCGAAAATTCCTTGGGCTAGCGGCGTATTTGCACAAGTATTCACGCAATTACGCCGAGATGACTGTGTACACCTCTCTCGTTTGTTGAAAAAGAACGAGAGGTGGTTATGGAACGCTGAATGTCAGCGCTCCTTTGATGGTATCAAGCAGAGCTTGATACAATCCCCAGTCCTATTAATAGCCGATCAGGACAGGCCATTTCATGTGTTCTGCGATGCCAGTGATTTCGCAATCGGTTGTGCACTAATGCAGTACGATCTTGAAGGCGTTGAACGCGCCGTCTGCTATCAGTCGCGTCAGCTGCAACCAGCTGAGCAGAACTATCCAGTGCATGACAAGGAACTCCTTGCCATGAAGTATGCACTCGCGAAGTTCAGAGTCTATCTATTAGGAGATAGACCCTTCATTGTTCACACAGACCATGCGTCGTTACGCACGGCAGTGAACAGCCCGCACCTTTCACAACGAATGGCGCGGTGGTTGTCATTCTTTGCAGAATACAACTTTACGGTATAGTACAAACCAGGACGACTTAATGTCGTCGCTGATGCACTCTCACGTAGGCCCGACTTTGAACCAGTCGTGAAACCCAACAGTGAGACAGCCACTGTTGCGGTTATGCTGTCCTCAGTACCATCTTCAACGTCACATGATGATGTGAGGCGGGCGTATGCCCAAGTTGGTGAGATTGTGACGTTGTTGATACATCTCTCACAACCATCTCGGGAATCGTTGAAACGATTGTCGTCTGCGTATCGATCTGCATCAGATCGATTCACTACTCGCAACGGTGTACTGTATTATACAGCCGTTACTGGTGATACACCACGTGTTGTCATCCCAGATGATACTGATCTGCGTTTGCGGATCATGTTCGAGTATCACGATGCTCCTATAGGAGGACATCGTGGCCGGGAGAAAACATATCTCACGGTGAGTCGAGACTTTTACTGGCCGCTCCAGTATCAGTTTGCGCGAAAGTATGTTCGCGCATGCGAAGTCTGTCAACGAGTGAAGTCAAGTCCTTCACTGCGTGCACCTTTACAGCCTCTACCGGTTCCGGCAGAGTGCTGGGAATCCATCTCAATGGATTTTGTCTTCGGGTTACCCAAAGACGCACGCGGGAATACGGGTATTCTCGTATTTGTTGACAGATTCAGCAAAATGGTCCACCTTGTGGCTGTACCAGAGTCAATCACAGCAAGTGGCTGTGCTTGTGTCTTTATCTACACCATCTTCCGACTTCATGGGTTGCCCCGTGAACTCGTATCAGACCGAGATCCACGCTTCACTGCTGATTTCTGGCGTTCCGTGTTCAAATCACTCGGAACGCGCTTGAAGATGTCGACATCTGATCATCCAGAGTCAGATGGTCAGACGGAACGTGCCAATCGTGTCCTAGAAGAGATACTTCGAGGATACGTACACTCCTTTAAGAGTTGGAGTGGTTCTTGCCAATGGTAGAGTTTCCCATTAACAACTCGGTGCATGCGTCCACGACACATACACCGTTTTACGTGAATGGCTTGCGCCATCCGCGTGTACCCACCTTACTAAAGTGTAACTCTGGTTTAAGGGGGGGAGGGACTCGCGCGAGCAAAAAACGATTTGGTTCGCGCTCATCACGCTCTGAAGATGAGGTCATTGCGTTTGATGCCGATATCGACAACATCGATATCGAAGAAGATGATGCCAGTGAGAGTGCGGAAGCCCTCGCTGAAGAAAAGGTTGATGTTGTTGCAGTGCACTCACAGCGCACTGAAGCTAACGAGTCTTCCGATGAGTTTATACTGGCTCGTGAAACGGGTAGTCCGTTTTGTGCAAGACTCCATCGCCGAAGCGGTGGATAAGCAAAAGCAAAACGCTGACAAGAATGGAAGGGCAAACACTCTTTTATTGAACAAAGGTGACTTAGTCCTACTGTCTACGGTTAATCTACCAAAGCATGTAGTGACTAACTTGGGTAGTAGTAAACTTCTACCCAAGTACATCGGCCCATTTCGTGTATTGCATCGCCTAGGCAACGCATACACGATCGAATTACCACGTAAGATGCGAACGCATCCCACGTTTTACGTTGGCCGGCTTAAGCCATACCATCAGTACGCTGCACCTTCCGATGAAGAACTTCCTTGCGCTCAAGCATCTCGCAGAGAGCCTTGTGCTCCCGATGTTGGGCATCAACAAGGGTCTGGAGAGCAGCTATCTCATCCCGAGACCGGTCAATATCCACACAAGCTACCCTTAGCTCGTCACGAAGAGATGTCAGAGCTCTCTCGTTCTCAAGCTGAGCAAAGGCAAACTCAGCTCGATGCTTCGAGGCAGTGTCCGCCATTTGGAGACGCCTATTCCGCTCATGTTCGAGATCGTCGCGTAACCCTTGCGTTACGCGATCAAAGAAGCTCTCGGGTACACACCGATCCCCATGATCGTGTGGAGAGCGTCTTTCCTCCTCCTCCACCTCCATTAGAGGACTCTCGCGGTGGCCAGCGCTATCTAGTTGAGCAGCTGTTGAACCACCGCGACGTGAACGGACGTCGGACGAGTTATCTCGTCCGGTGGCGCGGCTATCCCCCGTCCTGGGATTCTTGGGAGCCCCGCTTCCGACTGATGATTGACGTACTGGGTCTGGTTGAGCAGTACGACGCGGCACATCCTGTGCCGCAGAAGGACCGCCGGAGAAAGTCTTCCCGGCACGGTCGTAAAGGGATTTCAGGTTGTCAATCCCTTCGTACATCTCACAGTAGACATACGTGCGCGCCACCACGGGCTGGTCAAGGAGGTAAGCCTCCTTAGGTGCGCGCGCAGAGTTGTTCACACAACATGGGCACGAGTCTCCCCAGTAGAGGCAGGGTAATCCTTTCTCCCTTGACAGGCGATGCAGCTTGTAGCGTGCACCTGTCGGGGTTCGCTTTTCAAACTTATCACGAGCTTTGATAAGTTTGTCGTTCCAAGCGTCACGACCTACATCCTCGAGGTTATGGATGTAGGCGTTCCACGCCTGAAGCAGTGAGGGACCATCACGTTTGTGATTCCCACTGTACCATCGATGTATAAAGAAAGCATCGATGAAGAATTCATTCTCAGTGTGATAGTCTTTCGCGCTGGGGTCAAGGTGATGGATCCTTGACGAATCGAATAATCGTGTTCGATAGCGATCACTCGTCGTCGCCGACAAGTGATCCATGACGGATTTAGGAGGCATCCATGCCTTCTTCTCGGGATCGAGACGCAACACACTGCGGTCCCGCTCTTCTTGCGACGTGCCGACAGAAGTACTGGCACCTCGCTGCAAAGTGGTGTCAATAGGAGAACCGACATCACTGTGAGCGCCCGAGTCTTGCGACCTCGAGCGCCTTCACTTTGGCGATGGTTCATCTGATTCGTCAGATGAACCAAAGATGCTACAAAGCGCAGCATCATCCATGCCACGCTTGGCAGGCGGCTTGGTTTTGATCGCCGTCGATACGGATCCGTCTTCCGTATCAGGAGAGTATGAGACACCAAGCTCATACTCTGTGAAGACATGAGTGTCTTCATGACGAGCTTCTGCATCACCATGTGATACAGGCTGAGACGCTTTAGCAACCGATGACAAATCGGTTGCAGCGGTTTCTGCTACGGCGTCTGCACAGAGACGTGCAGACGCTCTCTCAGCAGCCTTGTTTGCGCACCGCATGGGCTTGTTAACCATGCGATGAACTGATGAAATGTGGACTCGGACCAACAAGTGCAAACCCTGTCCCAAATGATTTGGGACGAGTATCCATTTTGTCAATCAGTCACTGATGGTTAAGGGGGGGGTGATGTAACGTGGTAAATTGTTACATGACAATTTATAAGAAATTGTTAATAGAATATGACTATAAGAGTTGTATTCTTAGAATATTGTCATAAGGACAAATATTCTGCAGCACTTACGAGTAGTTCCTAATTGGTTGATATAGGCCATTATATCAACCGACGAAGACACGCCACGACAGACGCACGCAATGAGTGGTGAGCAGATAGTTGATATGCACATTTGTACTCAGACATAGTTAGATGAGGATAAACAGTGATTTACTAACAGACATTAACTATGCTAAATACAGTTCTCCTTTTTACTTTATCCAAGTACTCGCTTCTCCTTATCGTCTTCCTCTGCACGTACCAGTGTACGTTAAGTTACGCGGCACCGCCTTATTCTGTCATCAGAATAAGTAGCTTGTACTGTTATCAGTACAAGCTTCAGGGTGCCCCGTTACACAGTACTACATCTCCTTAGATGAACTTGCTGAGCAAAACATCGTTGGTGCAGGCGTCACAACCACGATACGATTGGCCTCGAAATAAGAAATAGCTCTTTCGGAAGATGTTATCAGGCGAAAGATCAAGTTCGCTATTTCTAACGTCCATTCAACTCCCCCGAAATAAAGGAATCGACACCTTGCTTGTTATTGGACGGATCTCTTCTGCCAGATCAAATCAGCGCATTTTCCAATCGCAACGCGGGCATACTGGGAATGGCAGAGGTGTTTATGGTATCGTCATGTAGACACGATGAGGAGGATGTGACACGTCCATCTGGGTCGCAGACGGCTGTGATGACAAGGCCGCACCTACGGATTTCCCAGAATTGATTATTCTGCGCGTACTGAAAAACGCATCTGTGTTGCTGTTTCTCATAGGATTGGAGTTCGGCCAGGAAGCCAGGAGTGTGGCCGCAAATTGCTCTGGTCTTTTCATTTTGAGCTTTGCATGAGCAAGTGAGTTATACCGTAATAGTGGATTGAGTATGTGGGATTTACTTCCAACGAAATTGGGCATATTTCTGAGCTTCTTTTGATAACGAATCAGAATGATCCAGCCGAATAAAAAAGAACCCAGTCGCTTAGCATTTACCAAATTCAATCGAACTGTAGGTGAGTCGGTTACAATAGCAGTACGCTTCTTCATTCTTTCTTCTGCGCATGCAACGGAAGCAAGAACCTGTAACAAGTCGAGAATGTATGCCTCACGAGTCAATAAAGACCAATGTCTATTAGTTGGATGCCTGACAGCACTGATTGTATATTCAGAGTGAGTCTGCAATCGATGACAAGCTGACAACGTACAGGCTTTTGTGTTCCATTGTGTACTTTGCATGTGCTGACCATTTGTCGCCAGAAACGCCTTTGCGGGGTTGCCATGACATATCCATGCTCATTGTCTACGAATGCAGTGTCGAAACGTACCGAAGATGCCCTACGGTGAGCTATGCCAGAGCTCACTGTCCTTCCAGATTGACAGAAGACGTCGGGTGAAAATGCCTTGCTGACGTTGGGAAACTAAGAAGCCACAACCTTTACCCTTTCGAGCTACATGCTGCACACCATTTGGATGGACAATCCCATAAATACTTGTCTGACTCTTTCCGTCTGCTACTCGTGGTCTTAGAGTAGACATCTCCAGTGGTGTGTTGTCGCAGGCGAAAAACTATCGATTCGAGCCTGATGTCAGTAGTGGGTTGCGGCCTCGGTAAACGGTGTCGCGCAAACCGTCATATGGGAAGTTGGTCCTGTTGTGAGACCAATCATTGAAATGTCAACAACGCCCAGAAAAGTCGTACGACCTTGTCTGGAACATATACAAGATGAAGCATGAAGTAATTGTATTGACGCAAATGAAACAAAAGCTACAAACACCGGAGCTCCCAACCATCTGCGCATCACCCCTGTAGGCACCCACCATTGGGTCGCATAGTTGTCACCAAGGAGTTGCTTGATGTCCACAGCTGCCGTCAGCTGCCGACTGAAGCTCACTCGAGCACCCGTCGCTGCCCCTGGGCCAGAGTTGTTAAACTCTCCAAAGTACACGTTGTCCGTGCTGTTTTCTTGCCACTTTGCCCAACCCGTGGCATTGACCACCTGGCCGAGCCAGCTGTTCTGAAACACGACGCGAGAGAAGAGCCGCCACGGACGACCAAGGAAGGTCTTGCCGATGAGGCTGCTGTTGGAGCTGTACACGTTCGCACGGTTGAAGACGTAAAAGGAGTCGCTGTCTTCAGTGGAACGACCGTTGGCAGTAATGTACCCCTTACCAATGCAGTCGATATCACATTGCTCATACCAAGCCGCTGCGTTCGTACCGAAGATGAAGTCGACAGTGCCGCTGATGCGTGACTTGACAAACAACTGGCGGCCTTGATTGGACAACAAGGTGTCTTGGTATCCTCTGAAGTCACAGCAGTAGAAGCCGTAGTTGGTGCCATTAACGGCAGCAGCGACCGCTTGTCCCACGGGTCCCGCCGTGTTTGCGATGTTGAGGTTGTACACTTTCACGTTGTCCGGCTTGAATAACACCGTGCTCGTCAGTGCATTGCGGTTCCACTTCACCTCGGGAGGCACGTCCTTCTGCGACATTGCGTGAGTAAATGTCACCTGGTTCTCATTATACGACGTCGCGTCGCACGTGGCACCTTGGAGCACGAGAGCACCACAGAGAGGCGGAATGACCACTTGTTCCTTGTACAACCCTGGGCGGATAAAGATGATTTGCAGCTTGTCCGAAGTGAGGTCCAGTCTTGCAACAGCCTCGTTCATGGTCCGGCAGCTGCCTTGGTATCTAGGATCACCCGTAGGATCCACAACGATGGCACCAACCGGCGGCTCGATCCGAGCGTTTGGGCCACTGCACATGATCGGGTTGGCTGCTATCATTGTCATGACGCTGGCAAGAGCTAGTAGCGATGGCACGAAGATCTTCATGGTTATCGGATTGGGTCTCGATGGAGGCGAGGAAAAACTCAAAGTGAGATTAAATGCGTGCGACGGTCTCTACTTGTTCGGTACGGTCACGATGTAGCTACAGACCAATGTCATAGACAGAAGGTACATTAAAGCCGGAGATTTCAGGATAAGAAAATTGGTGTGTGCGATCGCTGTTTGCGGTACATGCTGGTAATCACGTATCTATTCAGCTGCTGTTGTCGCGGGGTTGAAGTGGTCTGGCTTCATTTTAAATTCAGTGCTCCCCTCGAGACGGGGTGTCCTCTTTGAAGTCATAACCCGCGACAAGTTGCTAAGCTGGCGCTTACTATGCTTGTCCTGCAGCTGCTGGATAAGAAGTTATTGCTGGAAAGGAGGACATAACTGTTAAGAAGGAGATTGATGCGAAGGTTGGCGAGTGATAGATTGAGAGATACCAATGTAAATTGATGGTCATTTGCAGTATGGTTGGTGGGTAAAAACTACTCGAGCTACAAGTAACGGATGCATTGAGGAACACCATTTCACTCGAGACGAAGGTGTTTATGGTATCTTCATGTAGACACGACGAGTAGGATGTGACACGTCCATCTGGGTCGCAGACGGCTGCGATGACAAGGCCGCACTTACGGGTTTCCCAGAATTGATTATTCTGCGCGTACTGAAAAACGCACCTGTGTTGCTGTTGCTCTTATGATTGGAGTTCGGCCAGGAAGTCAGGAGTGTGGCCGCAAATTGCTCTGGTCTTTTCATTTTGAGCTTTGCATGAGCAAGTGAGTTATACCGTAATAGTGGATTGAGTATGTGGGATCTACTCCTGACGAAATTGGGCATATTTCTGAGCTTCTTTTGATAACGAATCAGAATGATCCAGCCGAATAGAAAAAAAACCCTGTTGCTTAGCATTTACCAAATTCAATCGAACTGTAGGTGAGTCGGTTACAATAGCAGTACACTCCTTCATTCTTTCTTCTGCGCATGCAACGGAAGCAAGAACCTGTAACAAAGTCGAGAATGCATGCCTCACGAGTCAATACAGACCAATGTCTATTAGTTGGATGCCTGACAGCACTGATTGTATCTTCATAGTGAGTCTGCAATCGATGACAAGCTGACGACGTACAGGCTTTTGTGTTCCATTGCGTACTTTGCATGTGTTGACCATTTGTCGCCAAGAAACGCCTTTGCGGGGTTACTATGACGCATCCATGCTCATTGTCTACGAATGCAGTGTCGAAACGCATCAACTACGCCCTACGGTGAGCTATGCCAGAGCTCACTGTCCTTCCAGATAGATAGAAAGCGTCGGGTAAAATTTCCTTGATGACGTTAGGTGTAACGGGGTATCTCTACACATGATATTTAGAGGTGGCGATAGGAATATTGTCTAGCATGACGTTATCCTACCGATTTTATCCGAGATGGATAGTAGTGAAGGAATATTATTCCCTTTTTTATAACAACATTCATTCGCTGCTTCAAGATTGGTTAATTAAGACATATCATTCTAGGTGACCACCAATCGCTGCTAGACGCGCGTAATGAGTGGTGAGCAGGTTGTCTTCATACGACAATGTAGATTAAATTAGTTAGATGAAGATTAAAGTTATATTGATAAATTAACTATGTTGAAAACAATTCTCTTTTTACCCATCACTCAACCTAGCTGTTTGAGTAGAATAGCTTCCTCTGCACGTACGAGCGTACGTAAAGTTTCGCGGCACCCCGAACAAAGGGTGCCCCGTTACACCTGGTATCACTTCGTAGTCCGTCCAAGGACTATTTAAGTGTCCGTCCAACATGAACATGTTGGACGTAGAAGACGACAGCTTTCACGTCACACGTGAAGGCTACTCCCATCTGAGCGACTCAGAATGGGAGGTAGTCGGCCGCATGAGGGTGCTCATGGGCGAACCCGCCATCAGTGGTATGTTGGAGTCTCTAAGCAAAG